ATCACTCTCAATATTTCCGTAATTTTGCAGTTATATTTTGGATAGATTTTATTACAAATACTCACAGACGTGCTATGTACTATAACAAATTATTTTCAATCGTTTTCTCTCGGAAATTGTAAGTACTATTTTTAAGATATTAAGATACACGATAAAGGTACCGCTGTAGCCGGTCGGAGGATATTTATCGACTTTTAACAGTAATAGTCATTTGCAATGACCTATTCTTTTTATTGTTAACTGGCGACCCGCCCCGAATGAGGTGATCGATGACGAGATGGGTAATGAAATGAAATGAAATGAAATGAAATGTCATTTATTCAGTCTAGGCTGTTACAAGCACTTGTGAAGGTCAAGAAGCTACGCCATCGGTTCGCAAAACTACGGCGGGAGACCTTGTACTGAGAAGAACCGGCAAGAAACTCAGCAAGGGCTGTTTTTTTCTCCCTGTATTGTTATATACAGTGTCGTCAAGTTGAAAAATTACTTCAGAAATACGTCTGAAGTCACTTTCCATTACATAGAATATAAATATATAGTTACAATTAATTTTATAGTTAACATTTTAAGTAGTATAAGTATAGGAAGCGGCATTAGATAGGTACAATATTACTGTTATGAAAAATGACTAATACCCATTTAATATCAAATTATAAGAAACACTATGTCCATGCATTACGATCATTTAGATAATCAACAACTTTATAATAGCCCTTATTCATAAGAGTATTTTTGATCTGAGATTTAAATTTAGTCAGTGGAAGCTCAATCAGATCTTGGGGAACTTTGTTAAACAATGCAATACTACAACCCAGAAATGAACCTCTTGATTTTTGGAGTCTGAAACATGGAACGGCAAGCTTGTTCTTAAATCTCGTGTTAAAGTTATGGGTTTGACTTTTTTTTGCTAATTCATCATAGTTTTTTCTTACATATATTAAATTTTCTTAAATGTATTGCGACGCCAGTGTTAAAATATTAATTTCTTTAAATTTTTCTCTAAGGGATTCTCTTGCCTTTAGATTGTATATGGCGCGAACAGCTCTCTTTTGCAGTATGAAAATACTTTCGATATTAGCGGCTGAGCCCCACAACAAAAGGCCATATGACATAACACTATGAAAGTAACCAAAGTAAACTAATCTTGCCGTTTCCAAATCAGTTAAGAGTCTTATTTTTTTAACAGCGAAAGCTGCAGAGCTCAATCTACTTGACAAGGCATCAATATGAGGATCCCATTGCAGACGAGAGTCTAAAGTAATACCCAGAAACTTTGTAGAATCCACTAACTCTACAGGCTGGTCATTTATTTTTATACTAGTATTAACCTGCCTCACATTAGGTAGAGTAAACTTAATGCATTTTGTTTTACTGGAGTTAAGTTTTAAATTATTTACCGTAAACCAGTGAAGGACTTCAGAGAGAGCACAATTTACTTCGTCATAACAATCATTTCCTCTTCTAGCTTTAAACAATAAAGAGGTGTAATCAGCAAATAGTACTGTCTCACACAAATCTCTTGTAAAGTGAGGAAGGTCATTGATATAAATAAGGAAAAGCAATGGGCCCAATATTAAACCCTGGGGCACGCCCATAGAAATGGGTGCTCCTGTAGACTCAGCTTCATTTATAACTACTTTCTGAATCCTAGCAGAAAGATAAGACTGTATCAGACTTAATGAAATATTTGATACACCATAATGCTTCATTTTATTTAACAATGTTTCATGGCTAACGCAGTCAAACGCCTTTGATAAGTCGCAAAAAATGCCAATAGCATCGTGCTTACTCTCCCATATATCAAAGATGTGTTTGAGAAGTGCAGTTCCAGCATCAGTAGTACTTTTGCCTCTAGTGAAACCAAACTGTTTAAAGTGTGCTAGTAATTGGTTATAAATTATTTTCTCAAATACTTTACTTAGCGCTGGTAATACAGATATAGGCCTAAAATTGCTGGGATCTGATTTGTCACCAGCCTTAAAGAGAAGGATAACTTTAGCACATTTCATTAGATCTGGAAACATTCCCTCATGAATACATTTGTTAAATATAATGGCCAGTTGTGGCGCAATAACAGTGATAATCGGTTTTATTATATATGTTGATATTCCCCAATAATCCTCTGTCTTTTTAATTTTAATTGAGTTAAAAGTTTTTATAATACAGTCACTACTGATATGTCTAAAATGAAAATCATTACTGCACTTATCAACACTTGACTCAAGGAGGGTCATTGCTAACCTAGAACAAGAATTAAGATTTCTAGTTGTTTCAAATGGTGCACTAGAAAAGAAATTTTCAGAAGTGTTTGCAACGGCATCATCTGTCCTAATAATCTTACTGTCTATTTTTAAAGAATATGTGTGTTCATTAAATTTATTTCTTCCAGTTTCATTATTAATTATATTCCAAGTTGTCTTTATTTTATTATCGGAAAGACTAATTTTTTTTTGATAAAAACTTAGCTTTTGCTATGGCACACACCTTTTTAAAAGTTTTTGACATATTCTATAAACTTAGGATCAGATGAGGTTGCCTTGAGAGCATATATTGATACAACTTATTTCTACTTTTGTAAATACCCGGTGTGGCCCAATCACTAAATTTCTTTTTAAAGCTATGGCATTTAATAACTTTGCGTTCGAATATTATATTAAATTCATCTTTAATTAAATTGAATAAATCTTCATACAAAATATTATTATTACTACAAACTGGTAAGTACGATATTTTGTGATAAACGCTATCTTGAAATTTATTTATACCCGTTTGTGTAATTGGTCTACAAGTTAGGTCATGTTTGGGTGAAGCATGATGGTGTTCAATAGAGGCTAATTGTCCGCTATGATCAGAATTAATACAATTTATTATTGATTTATTAATAACATTTCTATTACAAAAAATATTATCTAAACAGGTCGCTGACAGGTGAACAGGTAACACGTTCCGCCTCCGATACGAACTCCTCCGTGCTCCGGAAGGCACGTTAAGAATTTGGTCCCTGCTGCATCTGATGTCACTAGCACCCACCAATCCACACTGGGCCCGCTCGCGGCCGCCGAATGACGGCTATCACCTACGTATCATACCTGAGCTCTAGACTCTATTGCTGTGTAGTGTAGGTATAAACTATAGTTTATATTTTATATAGTTTGCTTTAAGATGGTCAAGCAACGTATTCAGGTGATGATAAGCAGCAGTATCATATCTAGTTACGGAAGTCATAATAGACCGGGAGCTGGTGACAGGTGACGTTCCATGATTTTGTCATGCATGCCTTTATAGGCTTGATAACTAACCCTAAAATATCAATGATAGGGGTTTTAGCCCCCCCACGCGTCCTCTTCATAAAGAATCACGGAAAATCTGTGTTCAAATTTTACTACAGAGTTATCCGTGGGTCACCGTTGGTCATACAGTTTCAAAACACTGAATTGCCCTTTAATTTTGTTCAGGTTTTCATAATCCTATGATCATCTTGGGCCGCTGCGGAGTGCATGCCATCATATTACAATGGCATGCTATCACGGAAAAACACGAAAATCCACTACACAAAGAAAAGCGCTTTACCTTATGAAGAGGATGCGCGAGGGGGCTAAAACCCCGACTATTATTAATATTTTAGGGTTAGTTATAAAGCCTTAAAAAGCATGCACGACAAAATCGTGGAACGTCACCTGTCACCAGCTCCCGGTCTATAATACAGGGGTGGCAAAATTTAGAAAAACGAATGCCAGCTCCAAGGCATTGTTGCATTTATTTGAAATTACGAACCTGAGGAAAAAGACCTCGTCTCGACAGACAGGCAGACGGTGAATGAAAGTGACGAAGGGTGACTTTTTTCCCTTTAAGATTGTTGAGTTAGAATATTGCCACGGGTTCGGCCGATTTCGTAAACTCTTTTGTGATTTCATTGTCATGTGCCTCAACTACTTATTTGAGGATTGTCATAGGCAAAGTACAGAATTGTTATAAGTATAGTACAGCAAACACCCGTTCAATATAATTTCTATAATAAATAATAATCAGGTTAATTGTCTAACAACAATATATTCCATAATAGTTATTAAGTTTTGTTTTTATCAAAATATTTAGCAGTAAAAAGCAAGTGATGAGAAATGAAAATAATCTCGTACTATTCTCGTATTCACTTTGTTCACTCGAAATATATCCGTATGCAACAGAACTAATGATTTTCGAAACCGACAGAGGGCTCTCACGCCCAAAGAAGAAACTATTACGAAACCAATTTGGGCGTAAACACAAACCTCGGCGAACATTCATCCAAATAATGAGCCAGCCTTCGATAACAACGCCGCTCGCCGGCTGTTTGTACAGTTTTATGTTTCAAGTTCACCCCTTCATTGTCTTTTCCGAATTTTGTGTATTCAATTAGCGGGAGGCCGCCTGCAGCTATCCCATGTATTTCGATCTGTTTTATATTTACTTAACGTTTACATTAATACATACTATGTGATGAATCCATCTACAACTATGTTAAATATCTCCGTAATGGTCTCTGGCAATTATTGAGTGGCAGGTCCTTATGATATCGAATCGCAGATTTTTTCAAATAATAATCCGTTTTCATATGAAGAGACGACTCTATCACGACAAACATCTTACATATTAACATTTTCACTACCAACATTAATTCAAGATTACTATCTTAATGATTACCTTTAACCGCCATTTTTCGAAGATTACCTACATATAATCGTCTCTTTGAGTCCAACTATCACTCGCTTACAATAATTGTTACGTCAGTATAATGGGTTCGTTAAAAAACTATACAAAATACTATATCGATAAAATTTACGTGAATTCATTTTTACTTTGATTTCAATATTACTGTGTAAATGATTCTTATCATATTTTTTATTTTACTATTTGTTTGTGAAATACGTAGCATTGAGCTATTAGTATTTACTTACACAAATCATACAATATTCGATTCATCTATAGATTAAAGTAAATAAAAAATGACGTTGTTGTTTCAGATCACTGATGCACTCGACGAAGTGTTCTCCAGGATTCAACCCATACACCGCGGGAAAGATGCCAGGGTATCTCACGAGAGACGACTTGCAGCCCAAATTGCACTCAAGGACGAAGATTTGACCAAAGCGTTGGGACTTGCCAGTCAGGCAGTTCTTAGAGCACCAATGACAGGTCAGCTAACTTTCAACACCTTTAAGTGACTACTGTTTAATAAACATATTTAGATTTTATATTTAGATAGATAAATTATAATAACATTATATTTGTCATGCAAGTGCCGTTAGTTTACACCAGAGAATATTGTATTATTTCACACCATTGCTCTCCCTACGCCCTATAAGTCTAAAGAACCTAACTCGTTTAGTCTGAATATATCTAACAATAAATATATTACAATGACCATAGACAAGTTTCATTACTGTACCTTCGATCTGGAATTTTGTAAAGCCGTAAGTCCAGAAGACCTAATCTGTGACATCAAAATCCTGTATTAATTGTCAAATAACAAGGGATCTCACAGAACCTAACAAAGTCTCAATAGATTGTCGTGATTCCGAATTATATGAAACAAATATTTTAGGCATAGGTAAGTTAGTATTCCTAAAGATTGTACTGGATATTGTAAAATCACCACATTAGTTCCTAAATACCTACTTAAATAATGTTCTAAATATCACTGCTCCCATTTAATGTAATCAATGACACTTGTTGCAACCTACATAAGTTTAATGATGTAGTAAATAATATGTCTCCTGTTCACCTGCTGTCATAGACCTGGATGATACCAATTCTGAAAATAATAATAAAATTAAGCCTCTTCTAAACAATTTAAAAACTATTAAACACCAGTTAAATCCACATATTGTAAAAAAAAATCATATAATTCCATCAGAACTTTATAATCTTAATATTCATCAGTATTATCTTCATAATAGCTTATTTCTTTGTGAAAATTAGTTATTTATGCAACAGTTGTACAATGAGAGGTATTAAAACACGAATCACCTGGGTGTTTTAATACCTAATTACAATAGTTGCATACAAGAGTTTATCTACACCCATGATATGAATCCCCTATAAAAGATTCTGACACCATGGGGCGTCCTAAGAACTTAAAATTCATGAAATGTTTCGACAATTTTCTTTTTTTGAAATTAATAATACCACGCATCCAGCAGGGAAAATTGTGGCTGTCTGAATTTAAATAGCGCAGGAGTATTATTATGAAATTTATTTTAAAAAAAACCATTATAACACCAATAAGGTGTTATAGTTTTTTTTTTTATTGTGATATTGGTGGTTTTAATTTGGGCAATAAGCTTACTGTTTCAGAATCTTTAATAGCGTAATGTTTGAAGCTAACCACCCTTTTAAATTTAACCTAAATACACCCTTAAATCAACCTATTCCATAAGCATCAGACATTACAGATAGACAAGACTTAATCATGACTGAGATCCTGAAATAGAAATGACCAGTCCTGTTTCCCCACTTAGAACTAAAAATGTTTAGCTTAATTTTAATGTTTAAAAGTAGAATGTTGGCCTCGACGATAATAACGTAAGTGATCATATCAAATTTCAATTAACTTAAATTCGCTAATTGGTAGAAATTGAAAAGATCTTAATTAATAATTTAGGTGAAGAGGAAGTAATTGACGGAGGGGTCTCGCTAGCCCTCGCATTGTGGCTACGATCAGAAGTGCTACTCAAATCAGAAAAACATAAGGCAGCATTGGAAGACTTAAAACTGGCATTGAAAGAGCGCCTACCAGCCAAGATGAGAGCACAATATTACTGGAGAATGGGCCATTGTTATAAAGGTATGTACTTCCCCTTTTCCTTAAAATTGGCTATTTGCAAATCAATCTTATTTGAGCGTTCCGTTACAAAAGCGCGAAGGGGCGCGGGACCTTCCCTATTATTCTAAAAAGTTTTATGTTTACTGTTTTATCTAAATATTGACTCTCTACCTTTTTGGCGTATATAAGAATATGGTTGTGGTCTATTTGATCCTGCTTTTTTGAATCGTGACCAAGTTGTTCTATGATAAGACCCATTATTATAATTACAATCATCCTCACCAGCCTATTAATGTTCCAACTACTGGGGCATAGGCTATGGATTGAATAGAGAGATGGGCCATGACTCAGCACGCGGTCCCAGTGCGGATTGGTGGGTGATAACGACTGCAGATGCAGGCAACAAGGGCTTAACGTGCCATTCGAAGCACAAAATCTATGAACTCTGTGGTCATTTTTAAAAATGGAAAAACAAATAATTCTAAAACTTATCAATTTATTTTAGTTGATTTTGTCATGGATTGGTTGATGTTCCAATCATAATTTATTTGTTACGGGGATACACTAAAAAACTCGACTGAAATAATGTGTTGTAGGCTTTTTTTGCTAATATTTATCTAAAATTAAAACTATTATTAGTCGTATAGATATGGCTGTTAAGTTATCATACGAAGAAAAAATTAGGGGTGGGCGTTTTTAGAATAACGATGCACGATAACGATGCCAGGTTTAGATGCGCACATCCGATGCGGCTGGATGCCGTTATTGGATGCCAATGCCATCTAGTTTTAGTCAACGTTAAAAGAGCAACAGTGCCACAAACTTATATGTGTCGGTGGAGATGTCGCTAGCGGTGAACAAATATGTCATATGTGCCACCGGCACTGAAAAGTTTGTGGTACTGGACTGCGTTCAAAACCTACGCTCTAAGTGCAATTTTTTATGTAAGAACTTCCATCATTCAATATTTTCAGTTACCATTCATTTTCATTTCAAGTAAATAAATTGTATTGATATCATTTTCAAGTCATGAATCATGGAATCAAAGAGACACACCCACACAAAACACACACCTGTCATAATTCATATCACATCGCATCTTGTGATAAATACTACAATTCTGACATTCACTTGGCATCGGGGCAATGCCGGCATCGATACGCGCATCGGATACGATTTATCTAATACCGATGCGCATCGATTTCACAAATATCTAAAAACGCCCAACTGTAGAAAAAATTGGTGATTAACTTGACATGTCTAACCCAATTTTGGCCGGATGTCGATTTCATGACTTTTCGCTTAACAGCGACACGATTTTCAGCTTTTTACATGAAAAAAGATCTTAATATTTTTTTAATATTAAGTAAGTAGCATTTATTTTAGTGAAAAGAAGCTTTGCAAACGCTGATGTTTGGTTATCAAAAGATAAGTTTCGTAAAACGAAGTTTATAAAATTCTGTCTTTTGTGAATAAGTGGTGTTGTTGAGTTACAAGGTTTCATTTATTTCTGGGAATTGAAAAGCTTAAATATTCGTAGCTTCAAAACATTAAGTTTCGTAGCAATGACATCTACTTTAGACACAGACAAAGTGAGAATGTATTAAGTGTTTTTATTAATTTTATTAAAAAGTGAAGAAAACTGGTATGTAAGTAACTCTTTTAAGCACATCTTGCCCATAGAGAAGTCTAAAATTATGCATTATTAAAATGATTATGGAAAAGAAGTGTAAAAATACAATAGGTTTTATTTACCGACTTCAAAAAAGAAAAGAGAATCGCAAATTGTCATTACATATATATTTTTTATTGTTATTCGCGCATATCTCCGAGGTTAGTGGACCGATTTTGAAGATTTTTAGGGTTTCGTACCTCAAAAGGAAAAAACGGAATCCTTATAGGATCACTTTGTTGTACGTCCGTCCGTCCGTCCGTCGGTCAAGACCGTTTTTCTCAGGAACGCGTAAAGGCACCAAACTGAAATTCATATCTAATACTCAGGTCTACTGTCCCTTGGAGCTGTGAAAAAATCAAACTTCTAAGTCAAAGCAATCAAAAGATACAGCCGTTTATGTCACAAATTTCCGCAAATTTTCGAAACTCGCACGGGAATCAAAACCTACAGGGTACTTCCCGTGAACTTAGAATCTTGAAATTTGGTACGAAGTAACGTGTTATAGTACAGATAAAGGAAAAATTGTGTAAACTTTTAGTTACATCATATAATAAAAAATATTTTTTACTGATTATTAAAATCCGAATCCGACTCGCACTTGGCCGGTTAAATTTTACCCGACTGCGCAATGCAAGAGCGCGAAGCGCGACGCGCAGCCACGGTATAGTGTTTAACAGTCTATGTATGTTCCTTTGTGGCACACTAGAGACCAAACGCCTAGACCGATTTTGATGATTCATACCTCAATCGATTCGTCTCAATTATGGGAGTGCTACTAAACATATGATAGTAATCAAAATTCAATATGAACAAAATTAGGCGCCATATTGTGACGATGTAAAAAAAATAAGTTGACAAAATATGTCGAGTGGGGTATCACTGTCGAGATAATCGAAAATCATGTTTAGGTTCCTAACATAATTTTTCATTTTATATGATTGTTTAGGATCTACAACGCTTTATAGTTGCATATTAACCACTTGCGCTTTTAATTTCAATCTTACGTTTGTATGGATCTTTGTTACTCTTTCACCTAAAAATACTGAATGGATTTTAATGAAACTTAACAGTAATATAGCTCATATATGATAATAACATTTATATAATAATTTATGTAGTTATTGAGTGAGTTGGCTAAAATATAACAATAAGTGTCACATAAAACGCAAAAATAATATATGATCAAACGAACTTCCGAAGTGAAGTTCGATCATTATTATATGAGTCGCTTCATTCGAAGATATTATTCACCACGTAGTTCCTCTAACCTACAGGGTAACGATACGCACGTTTAGAGATTGCTTTGCTTTTTTTTCCTATGGCAACCCTTTTCCCACTCCCTACTTCGCTAAGTATTCAGCTGTCATTCGTCATTCTGTTTAGAGATTGGTCTTGCAATAAAGATAAAGGGTTGGGTGGGTAGGGTATAATATCTTCGAATGAAGCGACTCATATAATAATGATCGAACTTCACTTGGGAAGTTCGTTTGATCATATATTATATTTCATCGCTTCATTCTTCAGATATTATTCACCACGTAGATATTTAGAGAGAGTGCTTTATTGCAAGAACGTTATTCCCTATATTTTTAGGAAATTAAAAGACATTTTTTATTTTAATTTGTTATATTTTCATAATTTTACCTTCTTATTACATATTAGTCTTAATCTTAATAATCATTTTAAGGTCGTAAGCAAACCGATTGAGCAAAATCATTGCTAGAGAATATATTTAATTTGTAAAAACGAGCAAATGTGTTTACAATAGTCTATCCTGCCGTCTTACGTATGGTGTCTATGCATAATCCCATTGCACTGGCTATGGAGGTAGACGCGTGTCGCGTACTATGAGCGGAAAAAACTGATGTATCCACACCACTCTCAGCCAACATAACTTTTATCCATTTGCTGATGGTTTGGGATGAGACGGCCCTATGGGGTTTTTTGATGGTTAATAATAATCGATTGGCATTCTGAGCTCTAATGGTTTGTGTATAATCAATATAGTCTAACAGTACTGTAGCAGGACATATGGGTGTATTTTCTTCAAAAAATGGCAAAAATAAGAGTGGTTGATCTCGCCCTGGGGCGGAAGTTTTTACCAAGTCAGTAATTGTTATTGATATTCCATTTGAATGTACCTGAATATTATGTAACTTTATAAGAGACATAGTTTGAACTCGCTGTGCGGTGCAGAGTGCTAAAAGTACAACCATTTTTTTTGTCAATTTTTCAAAAGTAATATCTTTATTAGGGTACCATTGAGAAATTAAGTTCAAAACTAACTGTGGGTCCCAGGTACGTTGGTATTTGGGTTTCAAAGGTTTTAATCTATAAACGCCTTTAAGAAGACGTCGTATAGATTCATCATGACCTAAATTATTGCCTATCAGTAATGACAAGGCTGATCTGTGTGAATTAAGCGAATCGTAGCTTGCTCCATTTTGAAATTCCCTTGTTAAGAAAGATATAACTTGAGTAACATTACCACGGAAAAAATCTAACTCATTTTCTTTACAGAAATGCCACCATAATTTATAACAAACATTGTATTGTTTTAATGTACTACTTGAGAGTGATGACAGCATTATGTCCGCTGCTTCCGGGGGGATGCCGCGGATCATGAATGCCTGCCTGAGAGAATCGCTGCACCCAACGTAAGATGATCTTGGAGTCGATGCGGGATACGACTCCTGAAACAGGATTGAAGAACGCTATCACTGGGTGTGAAATGAATAATGTCAGAAACAATTAAACTCCTTAGTAAGGGATACCATGGTTGAGATGGCCATTGAGGGTAGACGAAAATCCCAAGCTCCTTCGTTAATGATTTTTCGCAAACATTTTAAGATTATAGCAAAAGGTGGAAATGCATAAAAATATTTATCTCCCCAATAGATGGTAAATGCGTCGACACACAATGCGTTTGGATCTGGTAACCAAGGGACATAGACGTCGCATTTTGCATTTGTTCGAGATGCGAATAAATCAATATCAGGCTGTCCGAAGCGGCTTGTAATTTTTGTAAATGCTTTGAGTGATAAACCCCATTCCGTATCGGGGTTTATCTTTCTAGATTCGAAATCTGCTTCTATATTTTCTTTAGTATTTATATAAGATCCGAACAGCATGATATTACGACTTTCACACCAAATCCAAATTAGTCGTGCTAAGTTGTTAAAATGGGGAAATTGTATGCCTCCCATGCGATTAATATAGCTCAAGGCCGTTGTATTGTCAATTCTTAATAAGATTGTACAATCGGACATATTCTTACATAAAGTTTTTAATGCAAAATATATAGCTAAAAGTTCTAGGTAATTTATATGGAATAACTGTTCGTTTT